TCCAGAAAGGATAGAAACAGCCTTCCAGTGCTCGTCAGCATTCTTCAAGAGAGCACTCGAACCTTCAAACAAACCTGTAGCGTTTTACTAATCTACTGCAGTACCTCTTGAGTCACGGGTGCTTTCTGTTAGCCAAAGTGAATGACAAAACAGCACGCAATTTGGTGATGCGGAAGCTAATAAGCGTGATTCGAAATAATGTGTTTTAGCTGAAGAATAGTGCGAGTGACGTAGTAACACCCTCTTCGTTGGAGTGAAAAGCGAACCGGTCTATTAGCCGACGTTACCGGATCGTTTTCACTCAATCGAGGCACATTCTGTCCATCCTTAACCCCTCCAGTGTGAATGTAGTTGTTTGGTGGCTTGCGCGCTTGTAATGAGATTCGTAAATTTGGCCATCCGCGGTATGCTCATCTCGTCCGACGTTGCTGATCACTCAGCATATCTTGTTTGCAACAGAGTGGTTTGTCTCATAACTTCCCCAGTTTGACTCAACTCCACACGTTTCAAATTTTTATCAGATCCACAGATTCGCTTTGCGAGCAAGGTCTGCCTGAATGTGCCTGGCTAGATATCTGTGGTGTATCGGTGCTCCAACCATAAACACGCAATATTGTGCATCATTTTAGTCCTAGTGAAATAGTCCGGAACATGAACTTTGCAATGTTGGCGTTCTTGTTTGAGTCGGTATTCGGAATGTGTTGATTCAACTGCAGCATATGCCTCATGCACGGATATACAAAGCTGCTACCATTTTCGTTAACTATCACAGAATCATTTTGTTCTCTGGAACAGAAATAAGATTACCCTTTACAGTTGCAATATCACCTTTCTGCAATAAACCACTGAACAGTCGAAAAGCTAACACCCTAACTTTGCTCCTCGCAACGCTTATTGTTTTGAGCCGCCAGCACGGGATTCGATAGGATATTGCTCCACATCAAACGTAACATACCTGCGCTAATATCCACCAGAACATTTCTATTATTCTGCCTATTTACTGTGTACCGAAGGAAACGACAAGTTATTTACAACATATGAGTTGAACAGAATAAACATCCTCTTGAAACAGTTATCGTTTATTCGAAAGAATGAACTATCATTTTCTCAGGTAAGCTGTTGCGTGTTTTCTGTGATCACGGCACGTCTTTTTATCATGTTACCTGAGACGACCATTCCCAATTTACAAGCTAACAGGAACATTGGCACGCACGTGTGTGTGTGAGTCTGTTCGCGATGATGTGTCACGTGCTGTGGTAAATTGTTCAGTGCGGGAAAAGCTTGTGAGGACATACGTGGATCATAAGGTCACAGCTCCTACCAAGCGTACGGGAGTTGCGAGCACGTTCGGTCGTATTTGGTCATTTAACGAAAGTTCCGATAGCCTTACTACCTTGACTTTGTGGAACGTTCGCAGCCCTTACTCGTCTCTCCAGGGGTGCATTTACAGTCTTTTTTCTTTTCGTTCTCTGCATCATTAGTTCACTGAACTTTTCTCGTCGATCCTACTTTCAACCTTCTTGTTTTCCTCCTATTGTTCAGCCAAATGAGCAGCCAAACGCGTCGCATTGAACTGCATGACTAATGGTTGTTTAAACTGAACTGAACCGAACTGTAGCCTCAAACCGGATGACGGACATTCGGAATACCTTTAGACAGGTCTGTTGTTCACAGGCATCATTTTGTTTCACTAGTTTCACTACTATATTTCGTTGTCTGAGTTCAGAATGCGTATCAAACAATCACAATATAGAACTTTTTATCACAAAGAAATCTGTTCATTGCTTCTAGTCAGATTTCTGCTCTGCTGCCCGGGCTTTGTGTTCTCTCTCTTTAACCCATGATAAAGCAGCGCAGACAAGGACCGGGTGGATACTTTAACACTAACCCAATGCAAGGAACAGCCCTAATCTTGTTCAATTTCGCATGGGCGTAGAAGGTCAACCACGCCACATGCACTGTTTTTCAAACTGCATTAGTCAAACAGAATTAACATGTTACTCACCACTGAAATGGAGAGCCTTAGAGGTAACGTGTACAGTTGGTTTATCCTTGCCGTGAGTAATCAGCTGTGCATATTCACCGAA